TGGCTGACCAGCGAGCTTGGGGCTGAGCAGATCTCGTCTATTTCTGGCCTGGATGTGCACCTACTCTCGGAATTAAAATCATCGGCGGAGCAATTTACGGTCGCAGCTGACTGGGTTGCATATGAGGCCAAGCCAGATGACGAAGCAATCCTATTCCTGACTTCAGGGTCGACTGGATTCTCGAAGGCAGTCGTGCACACGCACCGTACCATCCTGGCCGCATGCCGGGCCAAGGGTGACAGTTATGGCCTAACTTCTGAATCTCAAATCTTGAACTGTAAGGCGCACATCGTATAAATAAACGTTTCGAAATTAATGATGACATTCAGGGGTTGGATTTGATCACGTCGCGGGATCGTTGGAAATGCACATCACACCTATGCTATTCGGTGCTTCACAGCTCCACGTGCATGCATCTGCTATCCTCGCTGATCCTCTCCGGTTGCTCCGTCTGATCGACGAAAAGGTATATCTAGAATCCCGTCATAACATAACGTGTCTCTGATCATTCTATTTTAGTCGATTGAACTGGCTTTCGCCCCGAACTTCCTGTTCTCCAAGCTCACGCGTGATCTGGAGAAGAGAACCGACCTCTTCGGAAGCTTCGACCTGTCCTCAATCAAGCGGTTCAACAGCGGAGGTGAAGCCGTCGTTTCCAAGACCGCGCAGGCGTTTGCTGCTACCATGAAACAGCTCAGCCGGAACCCCTCCGCAGTGTCGTTCACCATCTCCCCTGGATTTGGAATGACAGAAACTTGGTAAGGATTTTTCAAGCATATTGATATATCTCAGCTGATGGGCCTTCGCAGTGCTGGATGCATCTACCACCCCGTGGATGTCCTCGCAACCGAGCCTGCCCACGAGTTCCTTGATCTCGGTCGTCCCATCAATGGTTGCGAGATGCGCATCGTTGACCCCGCAGATGGAGCCACTCTGCGCCCCGACGGGGAGAGCGGCGAGCTTCAGGTCCGGGGACCGATGGTCTTCGTACGCTATTACAACAACGCCGAGGCTACATCCTCTAGCTTCGTCGAGGGCGGCTGGTACCGCACCGGCGATGTTGGCATCATCGAGAATGGTGTGATGCGCCTGAGCGGTCGTATTAAGGATACCGTCATCGTCCACGGTGTATCATACGGTATCCCTGAGCTCGAGACACACCTCCAGACTGTTGAAGGAGTCACGCACTCGTTCCTCGGTGCAGCTCCGTACCGCGCTCCTGGCCAGGAGACGGAAGGGTTCATCATTTTCTACTCGCCAACATTCGACCTCGAAGGAGCAGATGCTTCCACGAAGCTCTTTGCCACGCACAGGGCCCTACGTGATATCTGTGTGAAGATGATCACCCTGCCTCCTCAAATCATCATTCCTATCCCTGTGAACCAGATGGAGAAAACGACTCTCGGGAAACTGTCTCGTGCGCGTCTGATCAGTCTCTTCAAGCAAGGCCAGCTTGCTCAGCACATCGCGCGGTCTGAGGAGCTTCTCAGCGAGGCCCGAGGCGCTACCTTCGTTGCTCCGTCGAGCGAGACGGAAAAGGCGCTTGCGAAAATATACGCAGGCATCTTCAATCTCGCAGAGAGCGAGATGTCTGCAAGCGATAACTTCTTCGAACTCGGCGGCACCTCCATTGATGTCATCAGGTGAATATGTCCGTCTCCGCCGTAAAACGACCTTTATTCACACATATATTCTCCAGGCTCAAGCGCGAGGGAGAGGCACACTTCGGCCTACCTGAGATCCCAACCATCCAGATCCTCAAGCACCCCGTTGTCTCGAGCTTGGCCAACTATGTGAACGCCTTGCTCTCCAAGGACAACCAGACCGAGGAATACGACCCCATCGTTCCCCTCCAGCTGACCGGAAACAAGACGCCGATCTTCTTCGTCCACCCCGGTGTCGGAGAGGTTCTCATCTTCGTCAACCTCGCGAAATACTTCCAAAATGAACGTCCGTTCTACGCGCTCCGTGCTCGTGGCTTCGAGCCCGGCCACCCCTTCTTCACCTCCATGGACGAGATGGTTTCGTGCTATGCCGCAGCAGTCAAGAGGACTCAGGCGACGGGACCGTACGCCATCGCGGGGTACAGTTACGGCGGTGTTGTCGCATTTGAAGTCGCCAAGAGGCTCGAGGCCATGGGTGACGAAGTGAAGTTCACCGGCCTCATCAACATTCCTCCTCATATCGCCGACCGCATGCACGAGATCGACTGGACGGGAGGCATGCTCAACTTGTCGTACTTCCTGGGTCTCGTGTCGAAGCACGACGCCAATGATCTTGCACCTGCTCTGAGGCCTATGACGAGGAAGGAGCAGCTCGAGGTGGTGTGGAAGTTGTCTCCCCCTGACCGTCTGGCCGAGCTGCAGTTGACTCCCGGGAAGCTCGACCACTGGGTTGACATTGCCGGGTCTCTGATTGAGTGCGGAAAGGACTACAACCCATCAGGCTCAGTTTGTAAGTTCTTCATTTTCTGACTTCGGCACCTCTTGTTGACAAGTCATCTCTCTCTTCAGCCGCAGTCGACGTTTTCTATGCTATTCCCCTTCGCGGCAGCAAGTCTGACTGGCTCAACAACCAGCTGAAGCCATGGTCTGGCTTCAGCCGCGGCGAGGCATCATATACTGATGTACCTGGACAACACTACACATTGATGGACTTTGACCACGTGCCGCAGTTCCAGAAGATCTTCCGCGGTCGTCTCGAGGCTCGTGGCCTGTAGATGTTCGTAGAGGCCATGTTGTGTTTATATCTACCCTGCGCACGTCGATGATTCGAAGTATATATTGGGCCTTACTCGGAGTACCTATGGCTTAGACTTAATTCGCTCGACTAATTACGCTTCGTTGTTTTATGACAAAAGTACATATTTGAATTCATTTGTTTATATTTTCTATGACTGTGCTTGTGATTTCACTGTTCGGAGTGACTCATCAGTTGATGTGCATTCTTCGGTACCCAGTGCCTTACCGCCACACGCATCGCCACGTGACTATTATGTGGTTTGTTTATTTCAGAAGGCGTTGCCAAACAAATGTTGACGTTGCCCAGTTGGTCACCCAGCTGGTTGTGGAAGCAAGCATACGAAGTCGGTGGAAAAATTAGCTACGTGCATTATGTCGATTTCATTCTGCACTGAGAAGCCATTTTTTCTTACAGCAAGATCTGGTATTTCCGCGTTCTGATTCACCTGTATGGTCCAGGCGACACCACGTGAGTAGGTTAGACAGGAGTCTTAGGCTCTCAGTATTTTTTCAGGACAGTCACGGTATGCCACATGAAACACGATTTCTTCGTTGGCTCACGAGGCCCGACTCATACTGTACCGGTTTTAGTTATTCAGCATGCACTTCCTGCTTGAGGAATAGAATAATATCATGGTGGCGCTCGCCAAACAGGATGATGTGTTGAGTATTTCCATCGAATCTGTTGTTGATGATTCAAACCTTGACATAACGCAAGCGCAAGCATTGCACGACAAGGCACGCATTGTTGATGAGTCTCCTCTGAATAGATGTATTCAAGTTGTGCGTGAGTGAGGGAATGTAGGTCTGCTTGAGGTGAACCTAATCTTTCAGGAGAGACTTGAATGTATATTTTCTGCGTGCAGGTACGACGCCGACAATATTTTGGAATGCGGTACCCATACCTCACGATGACGCAGATCGATCGTAGGTTGCCCGCATGCTTGGGATACCGGGGAAGTCATGCGGGGTGCATTAGGTTGCTTTTTTTTTCCGAGGGCGTTGACTTACAACACAGCGTGTTGTAAGAGATAGTAAAATGGAGCAGAGCTGTGTCGAGGCAGGATGAACAATAAACAGCTTTCCAAAGCGAAGTATGGAGCGTTCTATTTACCAGGAGCAAAATTAAGTAATACTTCTTTATATGCCGGACGTACCAAACGCAGCTAATAAATGATGGAGTCTGCCCACTATCACGCGTGAGTGGATGAGAGATCCAAGCTCAAGACAGGTTTATACTAGTGTTGTGATGAATCGAAATTCCACTCACGATGCTGAGCATGCAGGGCTAGCACTAATCTCGCGCCCGAGATATTCTTTATCATTGGCAGCGTAAAAGTCAGAGCTATACTCCAAAATTAACACAGGATATCCAAAGCGCCGAGCGCTGATTAGCTGCATCAAACATGACTTGAGTTCTGATATACTCCAACAAGTCAGTCAGTGTCGCAGTACTAATCACAGCAAGCCGCAGCATCCTAAAAGTTGATCAATTGATCTGCTGAGTATGAGCTCAAGGGGACATAGCTCCAATTACAGCGCAGCATTTTCCTAGTGCCCCATCATTTGGCCTCGTCCCCCGTGGCACAGCGAGCTGGGTACGTAACTCGCGGACTCGGATGTCAAGTGGTTCGTGTTCCGGAAGTCAAGAATTGGGCTTCCGTCCCGCATGGGCTTGTGCTGCTTAGTAGAGTAAAAAAGATGCCAAAGTTGAGAGAGTTCGGAGGAGCACATTGTTAAGTTACAGGGGAACTGGTCTTAAGACCCTTTAATGTGCGCGATAGAGGCAGACTCTGGCATCGAAGTCACCTTGTTTACATTGCCGGTCAGACCTCCATTGTTTGGTGACCTCAACCATATATGGTTATGGCCGTACAATTTACTACGGGTACTGCCCGTACCGTAACCGGAGAATAGATACGTATACCGGCAAGTACGGGCCAGTGACACGGTGAGCACTAATCGGGAATATTATGCGATCAAAACGGTCAATTTACATAATTGAGCATCGATTCTCCTCCTCATCCCAACTTCATAGTAATCTCAACACCAACTCTACACTGGCATGCATATGGCTTCTCCTAAGCATCGCGCGGAAGATGATTCGCATACATCATTATTGAACGGTACAAGGCGTATGTTACCGACACCGCTCCGAGTACATATATAAGTAATTCCAAGAATGTCGCCAACTACTCAACATCCTAGACACCTTTTCTAAATTTCTTCCTACTACTGCTTTGACATCTAGCCTCAGAAATGGCACCCGTCGCAGTCTCCCCAACTGCCACCACTGACTTCGTTACCACCATCAAGACATCTGTGGTCTCTCCCCAACCCAATACTCTCCACGATGTTATCGCTCAAGCTGTCGACCGGTATCCGTCGCACGAGCTCGGCTTCATAACCTCCTCGGCACATGACTCCTCCATTCAGACGAAGACCTTCACCACGTTTAACCAATATGTTCGTAACCTTGCACGTGCCATGCTAGAGTGGGGAAAACCCACAGGCTCAGTTATCGTCGTATACCTTACGGAGCACGAAGATAACATGGCCGCTATCTGGGCGTGTCTTCTGGCTGGCTATGTGCCCTGCTTGCAGCCCGCACTCAGCGCGCAACAGGCGCACAAGGAGGGTCATGTTGCCCACATCAAGAACTTGTTTGGGTCTGCTACTTGGCTAACTAGCGAGCTCGGGGCTGATCAGATCACGTCCATTTCTGGTCTCGAAGTTCACCTGCTCTCGGAATTGAAATCATTGGCGGAGAGATTTACGGTTGCAGCTGATTGGGTTGCATATGAGGCTAAGCCAGATGATGAGGCGATCCTGTTCCTGACATCAGGCTCGACTGGATTCTCGAAGGCGGTCGTGCACACGCACCGTACCATCCTGGCTGCGTGCCGCTCCAAGGGGCAAAGCTACGGCCTGACTTCTGAATCTCAAGTTTTGAACTGTAAGGCGCACACTATCGTTAATTTCAAACCGTTTATTAAAATGTCATTCAGGGGTCGGATTTGATCACGTCGCGGGATCTTTAGAAATGCACATCACACCTATGCTATATGGTGCTTCACAGCTCCACGTGCATGCATCTGCCATCCTTGCAGATCCCCTTCGGCTGCTCCGTCTGATCGACGAAAAGGTATGCTAACACCGAACCACAGCTTAACGTGTCTCTTATCATTCCATTTCTAGTCCATCCAATTGGCTTTCGCCCCGAATTTCCTGCTCTCCAAGCTCACTCGTGATTTGGAGAAGCGCACCGATTTATTTGGGTGCTTCGACCTGTCCTCTATCAAGCGGATCAACAGCGGAGGTGAAGCTGTGATTTCCAAGACGGCGCAAGCCTTTGTTGCTATGATGAAGAAATTTAGCAAGAACCCCTCTGCGGTGTCCTTTGTGATCTCACCTGGGTTTGGAATGACAGAAACTTGGTAAGGAATTTTTAAGCATATTGATATCTCGGCTGATGGGCCTCGTAGTGCTGGATGCATTTACAACTCTGTGGATGTCCTCGCGTCCGAGCCTGCTCACGAATTCCTTGAACTCGGACGTCCCATCAATGGTTGCGAGATGCGCATCGTTGACCCCGCAGATGGCGCCACTCTGCGCCCCGACGGGGAGAGCGGCGAGCTTCAGGTCCGGGGACCGATGGTCTTCGTACGCTATTACAACAACGCCGAGGCTACGTCCTCAAGCTTTGTTGAGGGCGGCTGGTACCGCACCGGCGATGTTGGCATCATCGAGGATGGTGTCATGCGCCTGAGCGGTCGTATCAAGGACACCGTCATCGTCCATGGTGTCTCATACGGTATCCCCGAGCTCGAGACACACCTCCAGACCGTTGAAGGGGTCACGCACTCGTTCCTCGCTGCTGCTCCGTACCGCGCTCCTGGTCAGGAGACAGAAGGGTTCATCATTTTCTACTCGCCAACATTCGACCTCGCAGGAGCAGATGCCTCCACGAAGCTCTTTGCCACGCACCGGGCCCTACGTGATATATGTGTGAAGATGATCACCCTGCCTCCTCAAATCATCATTCCCATCCCTGTGAACCAGATGGAGAAGACGACTCTCGGGAAACTGTCTCGTGCGAAGCTCATCAGTCTCTTCAAGCAAGGCCAGCTTGCTCAGCACATCGCGCGGTCTGAGGAGCTTCTCAGTGAGGCACGGGGCGCTACCTTCGTCGCACCGTCGAGCGAGACGGAAAAGGCGCTTGCGAAAATATTTGCTGGCATCTTCAACCTCGCGGACAGCGAGGTGTCGGCGAGCGACAACTTCTTCGAGATCGGCGGTACTTCTATTGATGCTATCCGGTAAATACATCTCTTTCTGCCTTCAAATGACCTTCGCTGACACATAATCTCCAGGCTCAAGCGCGAAGGAGAGGAACACTTCGGTCTGGCTGACATATCTGCCATCCAAATCCTCAAGCATCCCGTTCTCTCGAGCCTGGCAAATTACGTCAACTCCTTGCTCTCCATGGGCACACAGACTGAAGAGTACGATCCCATTGTTCCCCTCCAAGTGACCGGGAATAAGACGCCAATCTTCTTCGTTCACCCTGGTATCGGAGAAGTCCTCATATTCGTCAATCTCGCCAAATATTTCCATAATGAGCGTCCCTTCTATGCTTTCCGTGCTCGTGGCTTCGACGCCGGCCACCCCTACTTCACATCCATGGACGAGATGGTTTCCTGCTATGCCGTAGCAGTCAAGCGGACTCAGGCGACGGGACCATACGCCATCGCGGGGTATAGTTACGGTGGTGTCGTCGCATTTGAAGTTGCCAAGAGGCTCGAGGCCATGGGTGACGAAGTCCAGTTCACCGGCCTCATCAACATTCCTCCTCATATCGCCCCCCGCATGAACGAGATTGATTGGACGTCCGGCATGCTCCATTTGTCGTCATTCCTCGGTCTTGTGGCGAAACACGATGCTGATGATCTGGCTCCTCCCCTGAGACCGCTCACGAGGCAAGAGCAGCTCGAGTTCGTGTGGAAGATGTCGCCTCCTCAACGTATCGTCGAGCTCCAGCTGACGATCGAGAAGCTTGACAAATGGGTTGACCTTGCTGGGTCTCTCATCGATTGCGGACTGGACTACAATCCATCAGGTTCAGTTTGTAAGTCTGTTCCAATTTCTGGGGTTGAGAGCCACTTGCTCACACACCGACTTCTCAAGCCGCACTTGATGTTTTCTACGCCATTCCCTTTGCCGGAACCAAGACAGACTGGCTTAACAACCAGCTCAAGCCATGGTCTGGCTTCAGCCGCGGCGAGGCATCATATACTGATGTGCCTGGGGAACACCACACGCTGATGGACATTGACCATGTCCCGCAGTTCCAGAAGATCTTCCGCAGTCGTCTCGAGGCTCGTGGGTTGTAGACATATGGAGAGGCATATTCCGAATATATTCTTGTCTTTGATGGTTTATTCATCTATAGTGGGAGTGCATGCGTTTTCGTACTTAATTTGCTAGATCCGTTGCGTTGTCATGCTTAGACTTAGAATATTGCAAGTATCCCTAGAGCAGTTCTTCTGATTGATCGCACAGGTGCTTATGTGAGGAAACTATCTTGCACAGTGTGCTAGCCCCTGCTAGCCCGAATCAGCTCTTAACAGCCAGTCGCATGGGCGCTGATGTGGGGAAACCTAAAATCATCTTGCGCAGTATGCACACATCACTGACGGGCGGGCATTACTCAAGGACTCAAGGAGTATAAAACTAAACCCGATCTGCATGGTGGATATAAATTTGCGGAAGAATACCCATTTTCTCCACTACATCCCACATCGCTGTTGTAGGATGGTTTCCAAGATTTTTGCCTTCCTTTCAGTACTTGCAGTCTATGCAATGGCTGCACCGTTCACCGTTGTAGGAGGTAAGTGTAGCAACTAGCGTTTAATTGAATCTATATTGAATAAATAATTTTAGGAGAAACTTATGCCACTGTTGCAGCTTCGGAACCAGGCTTTTTTGAGCCTTCCTGCATTCTTGGCAAGAGACATGTGATGGATCGCTGTAAGAATTTCAGCCAAATTAGCATCACCGCGCATTGTCTGAACTTATCTGCAGCACCTTCACCCGATTGCTAAATCTTTTCTTGACTTGGCGCCATAGTTAGGCTGAAGGAGTTGTGGCGAAATCGCAATAGATAATAGACTATTTATACAAGAGCCTCATGAACTGTTCATGAGATGTCTTAAACAACACCTTCAATCTATTTTACAAACGACACCTGAATTGGGCGCACCTGGACTTTTGCGAAGTACATCGGCAGCTCGCTAGTAGCTCAAACTGACGCGCCACGGAATGTGCGATATGCAGAGCCCCCTTTGCTCATTTGTCCGGCGGAATCATCAATGACAGTCCTATAATTCTGCTTATAACGTAGTCCAGCGAGAAAGTTCGAAAGCAACTCCAAATTTAAAGGGCTTGGCGTCGATACCAAATTACCAATTGCTTCCGCGGGATCAAACACTGCATGTGGCTGTGTAACGCACCAAGCAAAATAACTTAATCCCCCCGACTCAACTTGATCCATGGGGCACATGCGAGGTGGGTACTAGATAATCTCTTCTTGATCAATATTTTGCATAGCCGTCATGGACTGGCGAGTGCTTCATCCTTTCTTGCTTGTCAATTGCAAGTCACTATCATACCATCATGATTCGTCTCTTGTTTTGCCCACGACTTTAGAGCTCGCTGATACTCAGGACCCAGGAAGCTTGTCGTGTAAGGCAGCAGAATATGGACAAGTTCAAGTTGTGCTTGAGGTAGTCCGCTGCAAATGTCATCAAGAGGCAAACCGTTAGCGTCACAGCCTGCTACCTGTGGTGGGAATACCTCAGATGGTGATCACGCACTTCTTGAATAAGGTGAGTATTCTTTTCCGGTAGAGGTGGTGCTTGAATTGCTAGGTTTGCAAACGTGTATGCTTCAATACTATGAGCACATTTTTTTTTACGGCTATGGTTACTTTGTTAACCAGGAGGTCGATGTTTTTCAGTAATCTTGCCAATGCCCTGACATTCAAATTTTACAATCACCAGCAGGACAAGTAGTTTTATTACGATGCAGGCTGGAGCTAGAGATCTGCGTTTCTCGACAAACTTACAAGTGGGTACCCAATCCGATCTGGATGAGGCAAAATGTTCACGCTGTATTTCAAACTCTCTGATATATCTCGCGCAGCCTCTCGCCATGATCTTAGTGCTGTCAAATCATGATCCGCCTCTGCCAAGGAGATGAACTGTGGCTCTCCTATAAAACCACACTAAGATTTCTTGATCAACACGTTGACGCTCTATTGCCATCCTCACGCCATTTCGATGTGGTCACAGGGGCCATACCGTCCATTGTGGATGCTTCCTTGTGTGGTGTTAATAATGGTTCTTTCACGACTGCTGTGGAGCTGGTAGAGCATGGCTGTACAGTATTCTGGTCTATTTTTCACTAGCATCATGTTGCCATGCATCCGCATACTACCTACAGCCTTGGTTATTATGAGCGCCCAAGATCCCATTCACATTCCACCTGATACTGCGCAGATCGAAGTCTCCGAGTCTCAGTCCGTTGCCGAAGAGCAATTCAGTTCTTCTGATCGATCACACAGGTGCTGATGTGAGGAAACCATCTTGCACAGTGTGCTGGACCTAATCAGCTCGTAACAGCCAGTCGCATGGGCGCTGATGTAGGGAAACCTGGAATCATCCTGCGCAGTGTGCATACGTCACTGACGGGCGGGCATCAAGAACTATTACTCAAGGAGTATAAAACTAAACCCGAACTGCACCGTGGATATAAATTTGCGGATTTTCTCCACTACATTCCACATCGCTGTTGTAGGATGGTTGCCAAGATTTTTGCCTTCCTTTCAGTACTTGCAGTCTATGCAATGGCTGCACCGTTCCCCGTTGTAGGAGGTAAGTGTAGCGACTAGAGTTTAATTGAATCTATATTGAATAAATAATTTAGGAGAAACTTATGCCGCTGTTGCAGCTTCGGAACCAGGCTCTGAGGCTTGGGAATGTTTAATTCTTGGCAAGAGGCATGTGATGGATCGCTGTAAGAATTTCAGCCAATTTAGCATCACCGCGCATTGTCTGAACTTATCTGCAGCACCTTTTTCCCCATGCTAAATCTTTTCTTGACTTGGCGCCATAGTTAGGCTGAAGGAGTCGTGGCGAAATCGCAATAAATAATAGGCTATTTATACAAGAACTTCAAGAATTGTTCGTGAGATGTCTTCAACAACACCTTCAATCTATTTTATAAATGACATTTGAATTGGGCGCACCTGGACTTCTGCCGAGTACATCGGCAGCTCGCTAATAGCTCAAGCTGACGCGACACGGAATGTGCGATACGCAGAGCCCCCTTTGTCTGGCGGAATCATCGCATGACGGTCCTATAATTCTGCTTAAAGGGGGTAGAAACTTATCCATATATTCCTAGTAAATCACTTGTCCAGATAATTAAGAAAGTGATCAGTGTATATTTCAAAGTTCAAACTATCATGGCGGCACCACAATCTTGGAAACCATAAATCTTGCGGAAACGCTCCTGTAGTTGCTAGTTGAGAGGAAGTCTGAGGGACGACTGTGTTCCTCCTCCTGTGTTTGCCCCACCGCAAGCTCACCAAGTTGGCAAGGTGAATCTTAGTAGCCTTATTGCACTGCATCCGTTTGATGTGACCGACTCGGACCTCACCGTATCGACGCAAAACGACGGATATATTGACAAGTTACGAGGAAAAATATATCCGTCGTTCTGCGTCGATATGGTGAGGACCGGGTTTCACTGGAACTCGTTCTTGGAAGTGATGCATTTCAGAATGTGTAAGCTTGCACCCGGACCAAAAAGTACGTAACGTTTCAGAACCCATATTTCATGCATTCAGGTTGGTACATATATCATACTATGGAGTGGCCCAGATGTTCAAAGGTCCACATGTCTCAAGCAGCTTTGAAGTTTGTCCAAAAGCAACCGTACAGTGATCGTCTCTGAACTAGGGATGGCACCATCAACCACGGCACCAAAGCGAAAGCAGACTCGGAAACATGACTTACTGTCGCAACGTGCCGCTCAGGCTGCCCGCCCATTATGAGATTTCAACGCAGGCCAAATCTCCATGCTATTAGAATTACAAGGCGCTAAGGGTGAGTCATTTGGATGGACAGCAAACTACTTATACTTACGTTTAATTGGCAAACAAAGTCTGGGCAACAATCTGCAGTCGTTTTGCAAGCATATGTGCCAGAGCCAGTGTCACATGCACTGACAGACATGGATGTTGTCAAAGCAACAACAACGGCGAGGAAGGAGAAACGCATTTTTTAGTGAGGTGATACGGAATCTTCTGAGGGGGATCTTGAATAAGAACTCTGAGGATGGGGGATACTGTAGGAAGACGGCCAGCTTTTATATCCTGCGCATAGTAATGGGCAAACTTCTGAATCGATTCGGCAGAATGGTGATCGAGCTACTGTGACGCGGTCCGCGCGGCAGGACCGCGTCGATTTCACCTCAGACCTGGCCCGACTACATACGAGCAATGAAAATTGCGCACATATGCGCCCTATACACACACATCATGAGTTGCACACCACTGACATCAAATGAACGTAAATTGGGAATGTATCCGAATGTTTGGAACCAGGTAAATCGAGTGGGCCGCATCACTACTGGACCGTACTAGTAGTCATGATGGTAGGAAGGGAACATCGTGAAGTCGGACTTTGGAGTTAGAAGCATTCCTTGTACGCTGAGCAGCAGATGCGATTTTTGTGTGAATACATTGAGGGATCCGTGCAGCTTCGCAACAAGTGCGAGGGGAAATGAAAGCACACGTCATTTATTATCGAACTCCATATACGGCACTTTGCGTATTTCTGTCGCACGCCACAGTGTGAACGCTCTTATCATGAGTACGATCTTCTTTTCGTAGCTTGGACTATCAAACCCGCCTCACCGCGCTCATTTCGACGGACAGCGAAAGCCTCTGCTCGGGGGATGACGCGACGCGTGGTTACGTCTACGCGCTCATTATGACCGCTCACATAGAAATCTCACGCTGACGCAGGAACAATGGGATCTCAAATCGTAACGTGAGTAGCTGGTCCTGCCTCTTCAGATGCCAACGTGCTCAAGCTGGAAGGCGTACTTGCTGTCCCAAATATAGTGGAATCATGTCCGAATGGTGGGTATGCAGTCCGTTGTCTGATGAGGAGGCTATGCAGATCCGATCGCTGGTTCCTTCCATCGCGTCTAAAGGCTCCACGCCGCCATAGGCGGTTAGACACTTCAACAATACCCTCGGGTAGTAGATCGGACAGCAAAACAAGGATAATAATCTCTTAGATGCCACCTCTACACCTTCATCCTCTACTACATCGACAAGAGAGCTACCCCTCTTATGTGCGTATGAATACGGGGGCCGTCCTTCTCCGGAAGCAATCGATTTGAACCCTCACCCGGAACTCTCAAACCTCCGTTCAGCTTTTTAAAAAAAGTCATTTGTATCCATTTGGAGCAAAATACCCCAGGACACCGGTGTCATGGGTTACGACTTTCACGGAATTTAATAGGCGCTTGGAAATTACTACCCACAATATTAATGCCCATCGCCCCCTTGTAAAAATACACCATCAATGGTACTCAGCCGGCTGTGCTGCAGTTTTCACGGTGCTCGATTGCAAATTGTCTAGTGATCATAACAAACGTTTCATTCATCCTGTCATTGGTACATTAGGTTAACGTTACAGGCGAGCGTGTCAGTCTACTAAGCATATCATACCCAAGTTCAGTATCGTGAGGACATCTCAATCTACAGCTTTCAATTGAACAAAAAAAACACGCATCCAACTTCATAGGAAGATGCCTTAACCACTTTTATCCAATGGCGACCTGCAGCTAAACGCTGTCGCAGCACCCGTGGTTTGGAACGCAGTCACGATCGACTGGACGGCCGAGTACGCGCCCAGAGTAGCGCAGGACAAGCATGCGAGCGCGAGAAGGAAGTTCCACGCGTTAAAGAAGGCATTCTTGTTGAAGACTGGCAGCAGGGTTAGATTTGGCGTGAGGGAACTCTGCGGAAGTTGGTACGTACATGCACGTTTCCAACGCGCTGACCGTCTGGTCGAGCTGCAGTTGACTCCCGGGAAGCTCAACCACTGGGTTGACATTGCCGGGTCTCTTATTGAGTGCGGAAAGGATTACAACCCATCAGGCTCAGTTTGTAAGTCCTTTATTTTCTGACTTCGGCACCTCTTGTTGACATGTCACCCCTCTTCTCAGCCGCAGTGGATGTTTTCTATGCTATTCCCCTCCGTGGCAGCAAGTCTGACTGGCTCAACAACCAGCTCAAGCCGTGGTCTGGTTTCAGCCGCGGCGAGGCATCATATACTGATGTGCCTGGGGAACACCACACGCTGATGGACATCGACCATGTCCCGCAGTTCCAGAAGATCTTCCGCAGTCGTCTCGAGGCTCGTGGGCTGTAGACTTATGGGGAGGCATATTCCGAATATATTCTTGTCTTTGATGGTTTATTCATTTATAGTGGGAGTGCATGCGTTTTCGTACTTAATTTGCTAGATCCGTTGCGTTGTCATGCTTGGACTTAGAATATTGCAAGTATGCGCCGTATTTTGCTTTTGGGCTCCACTCGACGTCCTACTTCGATCCCATTCCAACTGGCAGGTACTGCGTACACGGCGGTCACTTTCGGATCTCAACAGTCCGGAGAGATGCTCGGATGGATTAACAGTCGCGAATCAGGTGTTTCCTTTGGAAAACATCGCGAGAGAACTTCGGTACAGAAGGGTGAATAAATGAGGTTCAGCTTACCGTAACCTCCTGGTAGCGCGTCGAGCAGGCTGGTAAGCAGCTGCAGGACGTCATTGGAATCATCTGCAAACATAAAACGAGAATGTCATAACGTAGTCCAGCGAGAAAGTTTGAAAGCAACTCGAAATTTAAAGGGGCTTGGCGTCGATACCAATTGCTTCCGCAGATCAAACGCTGGAGGTGGCTGTGTAACGAACCAATAATCCCCCCAATTCAAATCCGTGGGGCATATGCGAGGTGGGTATCACCTGTGTGTCACCATAAACGTCACATATTAGTAAGATAGATGTGATGTGATGTTCGTTACTAACTAGGGGGGAAATCTTATGCTGCAGTGCTTCAGCGATTTCCGCAGCACTCAGCATCGACTTCAGAGAAATGCCTAAATAGATAAGATATAATCAGTAGATATAATCAGCCATCTTATCTGCTTATGTCACGTTCCTCTAACGCTAAATCAGGTGATGGTGTTACTTTCCCAAGCCCCTCGTTGTTTCCCACGACGACTAAACCTTCATGCTCGTTGTTGCACACGACAACCACAATATATATCTCAAATCTCATTATTTTACAGCGCTCTTTTTGGTCCCTCGTATATAAAATCTTTAGATACTTATTAACTATATGTTTTCACTCCATACAATACATAAATAAGATACAATCAGTAGATATGATAAGCCATCTTATCTGCTTATGTCATGTTCCTCTAACGCAGCCGGTGCTATACTTTCCCAAGTCCCCTCGTTGTTTCCCACGACAACTAAACCTTCGTGCTTGTCGTTGCACATGGGACACTTGGTAGTAAACGCATGATGACATCCTCCAGGGTGAGGATGTCAATCCTCAATGACTACCGCTTCCTTGACTCGAATATGACGCGACCGACTGGACGAGGAACGGCTGCGAGCAGAATCCATTAGACGCGAGTTGGTTTCATTTCCTTCCTTTTGTTTTTACCCCTTACACCACCAAAGAAAATCAGTGAGTGCGTGTACTCTTAGCTGAGGCCCAGATCGAGGTTGGACCGGACCACCATGACAACACGCACAATGACTTTTCTTCCTTTGATTTTGAGGATGACAGCATGGATGCCGAGGAAACCGAAGAGGATACTATTAGTGGGCCACTGTTCTCTGAATTTTATTGTACTTGCGCTGTACAAAGGTACATCTGAACAAATGTTTTTGCGCACTCTCTTATTACCTTTGTAATAGAGGGGCTACCCACTGCCAACGACACGAAAAGCAAACACGAACACAGCGCAATCACCATGCCCATGTCGCGTGGACAGAGCAGATGCCTGCCCTCACTGACACCTATCTACACTGGAAGTATGGGCAAGATTTTGCAAATCTCGCCCATAACACTCAGCATTCATTCAGTGTCCGCAGTGTCGGTATCATGGGTATGAATCAGTCTCTCTGCCGTCTCACTTACTGACAGTTGTAAGTAGATTTCTTACACAATGTAACAATTCATCAGCAGCTCGATGAACCAGGGAATGCTGCTCTCCTGCGCCATGGTCTCCTTGGTTGTTCGCCCATCCAGCCAACGGTTGCAATACACCTTCATCAGGAAATCGACCCGAAATTGATATGACCGGATATAATTGGTAATCAGCAAACATTATTACAAGTCATGTTTTAGCCTTAGATATCATTATCATGGTGTCACACATATATGAACTAAGATATGACTATGCAAGACATGTCACCTTGATGTATCTTGGCTATCAGGAAATCAGCACAAACTTGTTGTTCCTAGATTTAGTTGACAAACTCAAATCAACAATCCACTGAATTATATAAGATTATATACAGAGATAAAGCTTGATCATAGGCATGACAACTTGGTATTAAATGAACAAACATCAGTCATATTACTTGTGTGCCTGAACTTTCTTGAACACACCACTTTCTAGTATTTTGCTTATAACTCACTAGGATCTTAACCAAAAAATGTCATGAGACTATGGAAAGACTACCCTTCACAAGGGCTACAACTTTGATTTTCATCGGAAAGATTCCCACGGTCTACCCTAGTCATTCCTTATCTTGGTCCTTAATCAAAATCCAAGTCCCTAATAACCAAAAACTCGAAATTTCATCAAGTCTTTCTTTACTATTGTATTCCTGTTGGTATTCTTAGTCTTAATAAGCAAACATCAGTCACATTATTTGTGTGCCTGAACTTTCTTGAACACACCACTTCGTAGTGTTTTGCTTATAACTCATTAGGATCTTAACCACAAAATGTCATGAGACTATGGAAAGACTACCCTTGACAAGGGCTACAACTTTGATTCTCATCAAAAAAGTTGCCACAGTCTACCCTAGTCATTCCTTATCAAAATCCTAATGTTGATTTTCATCGAAAAAGTTGCCAGTCTACCCTAGTCATTCCTTATCAAAATCCTAATGGTAGAGTATTATATTAGACTTAGAAAGTATCATATTTTATTTTAAGTCCAATGGATATGGTATATATGTCAGTTGCTGCCTAGATATATACAAGGTCATGTAGTCTAATGGTAAGTGATGCTCGAAAGTGTGTGAATTGATCAGGTGATCTCAGGTGGTAAGTTGTAAGCTCGAGGGTTCAAACCAAAAAAGTGGCATAAATTCAAATTGAAATAATGATTAGTAATTCTTTTATTTTACTGACCATAATATCGAACATTATACAGGCCAATTGTGTGACAGTTTTGTCTGAAGTATCCTAGCATTATAATACATTGTCAAGGATGGCAGGTGTTTGCAATATGTATCATATTTGTGCCTTTGGTGGTTTCTGCCAGTGGAACCTGCCTATCTAAAGCTTTGTCTGGCCAAGTGCAATTATGATAGATATTATATAAATTTTATGATATATAAAGCTTTATAAAGCTATGTCATTGTCGAGTCAATTTCCTGATGTTGACTGTTTGGAGCTATACCATCAGATCTGCCAGTGCCAGTCCTCTTTCAGCATCCAGTCCATCACAAGAGTTTTGTATACACTTCACAATGTAAGTTATTAATATGATTTTTGACATCATTTACAGCTACCTGTAGGTAACATATAGCCCTGCATTCCGGACTCAGTTTTCCATAGTGTTTGACATCTACATTCAAATCCAGTGTTCTATTCAACAACACATCAACATTGCACTTCACAGAAATCCAGTGGACTGGTACATGAATGGAGTATGTCCATGCTGTGCTTTTGAGGTGTGTGTATGCCTTACAACATTATTTCATGTACTAATTGTTCTCAGCAACCAAATGAACCAAACCTTGTCCCACGGCGATTACACAGTATGGATGGGAACCACTCTGCCAAGTGCATTGATGGTTCCAGCTCAACGGATCCCCAAGATTTTCGGAGCGACTATTTCATTCACAATGATGTGGTTGAACAATTCAGGGACGACGTCGGGAACTGCCCCAGTGAACGAAGCGCCAATCCAAACCCTAGCTGCATGGACAACTGGACCGCTGCAAAGACTTACGAAGAGGACAAGATCCTCGTGTTTGAGCAAACCAGTATATTTCTTATGGCCTGTTGCCACGGTTTTGTGGAGTATATCATTGAAATGAAGCGCAGTGGCGAGCTGTGAGTAATTGTGTGTTTGGGTGTCTTTTAATTTAATGAAACATCACGTCAGTGTGAAGTATGGCCTTGCTGCAATCAACAAGATGCTTGATGTTTATCAGAAAGACCAAGCCCTTGGCCATGACATCGGCTGTTCGTCACACAAGACAGTCGCCGCCAGTTCCATTGGCGCCAAGGCAGACGAGCACAACCTTATCATCGCGGTGTGGGAGAAATCGTAGAAGTCCGCTATAGTGATAGTGTACCGATCCTGCTGGGTGCGAGAATAGTAGTCGACCCAAGGGGATAGCTCTGAGAGCAGTTCCTCAAGTATGAGCGAGGGGAACAGTGAAGAAGGAAGTGATGTGCTGAAGACAGAACGGCTGTGTACGTGAGGAGATGCGGAGATGCGAGAATGCGCGGAGATGCGAGGTATGTGGAGATGCGAGGTATGCAGATGCGGAGATACGAGGTATGCAGATGCGGAGATACGAGGTATGCGGATGCGGAGAAACGAGTGAATGTCTAGAGGGTACCAGGTATGCGAACAGGTAGGGTACCAGGTATGCGAAACAGGTAGGGTACCAGGTATCAGAACAGGTAATCAGGTAGAGCAAACTAGGTACCAGGTATATGCGAAGACGTGCAGAAACCGCTTTGCAAAGGAACTCAACTGGGACTAGCAATAGTCAACTGTCAACGGCGATGCAAGCGTTCGTGCGGAATGAGAAGGCAAACAAGTGATTGCTCAAGCAAAGAAAGACAAGGTAAGACTAAGCTAGTGACTCCGCAACACACAACAAGAGAGAGGGAATGTCGGAAAGTCCCGTCCGTACGAGTCTGCGACATAGTATATAACAGAGTCCGTAAGGAACCGGAACCGTATAAGCGGGCGCATATGCAAGCGAAGTCGGAAGGAGATACATGTAAGTAATGGTACGCGGTCTCGTGTATGGGAACTGATATGTAACTGGCCCTGCGAACGGTTAGGAATGACTAACTAAGAATGAGAACGCACCAGTGAGGACGGACAGATGCAGGCAGGACATGGACAGATAGTGCGTTGTGATGCGATGTGATGTGATGCGATGCGATGAGTGTGTGGATTCCACAACCTTGTGTGGTCCGCAACGGCCTGTGGAAGGTATGCGTGACTTCGTCCAGTAAGGGGAAATGGTGCCATACGGGGCTGCAGCCAGATCGTCTCCTACAGCGGTCAACACATTCCACGGGTATGCTCACAACCATCCATGTCAACTCGCACATCATCCGTTGTATCTGGACGGCTTTGGGATCGAGGACTTGGAGACCTGCGAACAAATCTTTTCAAGTTCCAACAGTGCTGCTTCGCTCATCCGCCATGCATCTTATTTCCATTGGGTCCAATTCCTCGACCTCCACTTTGACCAGTGGGATAAGTACAAGTACCTGGAGCTAAGTAAGTTGTTTTTGCTTGAACACCTTAGGTTGCTGACTTAGAATTTAGGTTGGTTCCTGCACAATAACTATATTCAAGCACTTCGTATAATCAATGATTTCACCCCGCTACTGGACGACTTCAAACGACACCAATCATTAACAGATGAAGACTTCGTCCGCTGGAAGCATGAGGAGTCGGAGTTCCTGGCTAACCTTGCCCGCGAGCCACCAGCTGACGTGTTTGTGGTGACATATGTGGAAGAACTCGAAAAACTACAATCTATCGAGTTCATTTTTTTTCAATTCACTTACTTGCATTCTTGCTAATGTGCTACTTGATTCTAGGGCAAAGTACAGCAGCATTACAAGTGTCCCTTTCCTTATGTACACCCCAGCAAACTTTACGGCGTCATCTGGCCTCAATGTGTCAACACGGGAACATTCTAAGGCCACAGAAGCCGAGTGGACCTCGATATTATGACGACTTCAATTGCAAATGAATGTCATTGAAGACTTCGAGCACCGTCATGGAATCAGCAAACGCTGGATGCTGTCAGACCCTCATTATGAGCAAGCGCTAGAATACTCTGGTCAACGGCGCTTCATTCGTGTAGTCGAGGAACTAGAAGCATTGGTCATACAACACTTGTTCGAGTTGTCAAAGGCAAATCTTTCCAGCACAGGTATGATAATTTTTTATTTGAATTCAAACTCACAACCTGTGATTAGGGTACAAGATGCGCAAGTACATATCAAAAGCAATCGTGCGATGATCCTCTGCAATTCATACAGCGCTTGACAGATATAACAAGCTGGCGCCTCTGCAAGTCCTGCCTCGACCAATACTTGAGTATACCGAAGTTGTTGGGTATGCGGCCTTGGGAGAATTCATGCTCCTGAAGTACTCACGTCATGACCTACTCGCGAAACTGTGGGCTATACCACAGAATCGCGAGATGGCGGTGAAGTTTTTTAAAGTGCTATGTGCACACAAAGAGATACCGTGCTTGAACATTGAGATAGGGAGACTTCACGCTTGGATGGAGTTCGAGGACAAAAGCATAGTCTCCGCAATAGCTGCACTGAATGACCAAGCCTCGCCCCTCCTAGTGTCTGAGCTGCAGAGCCAACATGCTGCACGGCGCCTTGTTAATAACATTCACCATACTCGCCTACAGAAAGTCTGCCTATTGGATGGTTATACTGGTGCGCTGCATTCAACAATCTTGTCGCGGGAGTTGACAGAGCTGGATGATGAAGAGGAGGAAGATGAAGATGAGTGTAGTGACGAGGTGCATGAAGAGGCTACAAGACTCGCAGATGCTGTGGCTCGTATGTAGTGTAGGGACCATTGATGTAACCATCACGTAGAAGAATGGACTTGCAATGCATTGGATCGAAATCGCAATGTGATGTGCGGCTCAATTCGTATCAATGCAGTGTCATCAACAGTATTAATATTCTTATCAGATGTTTGAATTGTTGATCCACGGAATCATATAGATTCATTCTTACACCCATGTCTTTCACCGCATCTCATTTTAAAAATCACTCAAGATTCAAGAACCTACTGAAAGTCTGGCGTTCACTGACAATATCACACTAATACTCAGTGATTCAGCAAGATGGTGCAGGATCTCATAATTGCCGCGGGTAATGAAGTTGTAATCACTTACCATTAAGTTCTAATCATTCTTACGCCCTCTGTTTCAAACATGTTGAACTCATTTTCTCTGCAGCGAGCTTTCAAACACATCAAGAAATGGTGCGACCAGAATTTCTCAATGATATCGCCGCCTGTCTCGACTACTTTGACTTGTGCATGCAAACTGTAAGATGGTTTGCATGCACATTGAACATCACTAATGCTTTACCTTCAGAACAACTCTGTGGAAATCAAAATGACAGCTGGATTAGAGTTTGTGAGGTGTCCTGGCAAGTTCAATCTGACTTCTACTTTCACGACTGCACTCGATGTATCAGAGCTCATCAAGAACGAGGATGAGAAACAAGTTGTCAAAGCAATCTATTCCATATTCTCGGAGTCCTTTGTGCGCATGGTTCGTGAGCGCAGGTTTCAGTGGGAGATGGTGCATCTTCCCAAGTCCATGCTTGAATGTAAGTTCATCAATTGTATTTGTTGTACGCTAATGACAGTACATGATGCAGCTCTAGATAAAATCAAATCCACTGGCAAGCCCTCAGCCAAAGATCTGACCGGCTCCTCGTATATCTTCCCCAATCCCTCGAACTCCACCATGAATACACAAAGTGCTGCCACCAACACTGCACTTAATGTAGACTGGCGCAGTCAATCTTTTGTCCAAGCCAGTTGCACGCAACTTACGCAACATCCGCATTCTAAACCCTGTCAAGTCAGAGGTTCGCATCCCTAGCCCTGGGCCACCCACTGGCCCTACTCAGCGCAAGTATCCCTCGAAAGACAGAGTGTCAGGCAAAGGAGCAAGGCAGGTCATCTCACCCACTGGTCTACCAAGGCTTCCTAGCCCTCCGCCATTCGTAATCTCACCCCGCTCGCCTCTGTTGAAATATACTGCGCCTTTGCGTCTTCCACCAGTGCCTATCTCACCCACTCCCTCATCTCACCAAGGCAAAATTCCATTGAGGCTTCCCAGCCCTCCGCCATTCATCATCTCACCCAGCTCGCCTCCATTGAAATATTTGGTGTCTTTGTGTCCCCTGCCATCACTCAAGTCATGTCCTCCACAACACCCGTCTCCGTCGAAGAAAAAGACGCCTTCAGGTCGCTCTGTTCTGGAATCCAAGGCTGTGTCTGTGCCATCCAGAGCACCACCTCCTGATTTCCAACTATCGCCTAGCACACCACGTGGAGTCAAAGGTGCTTCGGATCTCCAATTACCATCTAGTGACCCTGTGAGTTGTGCCTGTCTTTTTTCTTATGCTATACTAATTGGAATTAGGGACTAAATGCAAAAAAAAAACCACTCAAATCCAGTGCAGATTCAGACGTCATTGAAAGGGGGGGAGGGCAAAGTCTCGATTACTAACAATATCTATTTGATGACAGCCAAAATGCAGCCTCCGAACACCCAGGATGCGGGAGCTATTCAAATTTCCGACAACATCAGGAGAGTTCTTCAGAACGTGCCTCTTCAATACACTGTGATGGATGAGATATGGAGGTGCATTCACCAAGTTGATGGCTATGATCCCTTGTGCTGGCAGGCTATCCTCACGAAGTTAGAGATTCCGGAGGATCATATGAGACCACTGCTTCATGTGATGGCACGTGCAACAAATGACCGCCAACTCGGTATGTGTTTTACATTGGGTTTTTTAATGTGGCCACCGCTAACTATATCTCTCTTAGTTGAATAGTCGCATATTACTACTATGTTGTTTGTAGTTCCGCTGAAATTTTCGATCCCTGACCTTTGCTGAACTTAGTTTTGTGACCTCCCTGATTCTCCTGTTTATTTAAATTAAGGTAATGTTTTTTGGTCGTGTTCCTCCGCCATGGCCCGAGTTCAAGGTCAACATCAGTGCTCACGCCCAAAGCTCATGGCTGCACAAAAACAAGAACGACACAGGCGGCAGGAAACACTAACTGATGCTATTGACACAGCCAAGTTGGCATATGCCCAGGAAGCCGCTCACATTGCGGAGACACATGGACGGTGCATATTTTCTCTCTTTCTTTGTTTATTCATGCTTACTGTATTTTTTAGATCTCTCAAATGGACGCGCAATCAATTCTTGGAACACCTTCGTTAGAGCCAAGCACAAAGAAGCAAACCAAGGTACAAGTTTATTTATTTTCCACTGAGCTATTACTGACTGACATCTAGACCTTGAAAAGGGTGAACGAATCAAGCTCACTCAGTTCATTGCAGACAACAAGGCCGAGCTTGTCCGTGCCCATTCAAGGCTTACTTTCGCAGAAAAAAGAACTTACAATAACGAAGTCCTCGAAGCCCGTCAGCAGAAAAATTGAATCGCACATGCGAATCCCAAGGCTACCAGTCATGATGTCAATGCAAGCTTTGCGTCTATGGATCGTGAAGTAAGTATTTACACTTTGACTACCTCTGAACAAGTTGATCAGTGATCACCGCACCTTGATCCAGGAAGAACTCAGTACATTTTTTCGGCTCAACTCGTTAACCACACTCATCTCCTACTCATTAGATTCAATTGCCCTTGAAAATAACATCAAAAGTTCTATCAAGATGAACTATACTAATTACGAGCACACCATAGTCAAACACTGCAGCTTTGCACTCATCGGCTGGCCATTACCTGGGCCCGTTCAAAATCCCTCCAAGGTTGGCGGAAGATCTGGGGTAGAAAGTTTGTTGAGGGTGCTTCAGGAGGGAGGCTGTCACTGGGTGAAGTTAACGGATCAAGAACTCTTAGCACGGATGAAGGATAATAGGGCGCAGGCGGCCAGAGGAGAGCCACTTTATGTCCCAAGGAAGAGAAAGACTACAGCCCCCTCAAAGTACATGGGCGCAGACATGGTTATGTCCTCTGATGAAAGCTCTGGCTCTGGCTCTAGCGAGGGAAGCTCTAGCGACTCAGATTAGTAGCACACAGTAGTTTTATTTTTTGGTACGAGTGCAATGGTACTCAAACATATCAATTTGTCAGAGTTTGTGGATTGTATGGAGGGAAAACATATGATTAATCAGTATCTAAGGATTATATATACGAGGGACCAAAAAGAGCACTGTAAAATAATGAGATTTGAGATATATATCATGGTTGTCATGTGCAACGATGAGCACAAAGGTTTAGTCGTCGTGGGAAACAACGAGGGGCTTGGGAAAGTAACACCGTCACCTGATTTAGTGTTAGAGGAACATGACATAAGCAGATAAGATGGCTGATTATATCTACTCATTATATCTTATCTATTTAGGCAGATATTTCTCTGAAGTCGACATCGTGCTGAGTGCTGCGGAAATCGCTGAAGCACTGCAGCATAAGATTTCCCCCCTAGTTAGTAACGAACATAACATCACATCTATCTTACCAATATGTGACGTTTATGGTGACACACAGGTGGTGGGTATACTAGATAATCAACAATCTTGTCTCGATCAATATTTTGCATAACCATCATGGATTGGCGAGTGCTTCATCCTTTCTTGCTTAACAATCGCAAAACAATCGCAAGTTATACCATTTGTCTCTTGTTTTGCCCACGACTTTAGAGCTTGCTGATACTCAGGACCCTGGAAGCTTGTCATGTAAGGCAGCAGAATATGGGCAGGTTGTGCTTGAAGCAGTCCGTATGAATGTGCTGCAAATGTCATCAAGAGGCAAACTGTTAGCATCACAGCCTGCTACCTGTGGTGGGAATACCCCAGAATGTGATCACGCACTTCTTGAATAAGGTGAGTATTCTTTTCTGGTAGAGGCGGTGCTTGAGCTTGAATTAGTTATGTCACGGCTCAGCTCGTCTCAGCTCGGGTTCGGCTTTTGCCAGCTACACCTGTAGTTCGGCTATCCTCGTGAGTTGAACCAAATTGTCCAGCTTGGTTTGACTTATTAGCTGTGTGAATTGGCTACGAGCCATGACTCCAACAGCATCGACTCGAGCTGGTTCAAGCTGGTTACAGTCGGCTTCAGTCACATGGAAGTTGAACAATCTTCTTTCTGCATGCCGTAGTGTGCACTGTACTGTAATCCCTCGCTGCAAAATTTCGTCCTGTCGTAAAGCATGAAGGCCCCGGATCATATTGATGGTAGATTTAGGCTGGAAGATATTTTGGGGTCCGGTTCATATGGTATGTTCATATGATGTTGATTCTTTTCATCATACTAATATTACTAGCTGTTGTGTACCGTGCACAGAACTTTCTCAATGATGATGTTGTTGCTATCAAACTTGAACCGGTCACCAAAAACCCATCTTCTGTGGAGCATGAACACGACATTCTAAAGCAACTTGAAGGTGGAGTTGGGATTCCCCGTGCCATTTGGTTTGGCAGGGAGTCAACATATTATGCCTTGGCTCTCGACCTCCTTGGGCCATCACTGTATGATCTCTTCCTTGCATGCAACCGCAAATTTAGCCTTCAAACTGTTGTGAACCTAGGAGACCAGCTGGTACTGTGGTTCAAACTTTGTTGTGGGCTACTGCAGATACTAACCTATTTTCTAGCTGTCGCGTCTTGAGTACATTCACTCACATGCCTTTGTTCATGGGGATATCAAACCGCATAACGTTTTGGTGGACAATTCAATGCAAACTACCTATATCATCGATTTCGGTATCGTGAAGAAGTACTGGAATTTTGCAACCGAATCACACATCCCGTTTCGCCGAGGTCGACATCTTACAGGCACCCCTGCCTTTGCTTCAATCAACAATCACCTGGGATTGGAGCCGGGTCGTCGTGACGATCTCGAATCACTTTCTTACATGTTGATATATTTTTTGCGCGGCTCCCTTCCATGGCTAAATAGTGACCATGAGAGGCTTTCCAGCTCCGTGATACTCGAGCACAAAGTGGATACCACCATTGCTGATTTATGTGATGGAATTCCTGCTGTATTCGCCAATATTCTTGTCTACTCGCGTTCTCTCTCATTCTCAGAGGATCCCGATTATGACCATCTTCGTTCTTTGCTTCACGATCTTCGCACTGCAGGGCCCGCACCAGCTACACACTCCCTGAATTTTGATTGTCACATCACGCCTTCCCCTCAATGTCCTCAAGTCACTGAATCGGTGCCCCTATGCCTGCCGAAGGCAATGCCTCTTCATAGATCAACTCGTGTGTAAGTAGTTTCCTTCTTACGCATCACACTCATAATTTATGAACTCATCGTTTGCAAGGTTACATCCACGCAATGGCACCCTAATGCCTGCAACTACTCTCACTTCACGTCGAATAAAGAGAAGAGTTGTATAACCTACTATTCTTATTCTTCTTTTTTCATAGCTACCATCTGTGCAGTGTGCGTGTTTGTGATGTGTTATAGTATCTCCAGATGTATATATTGAGCATGGTCTGTGCGCACATGCTGTGTAATGAGTCTGATATATCTTTTAATATCACACACTCAATTGCACTCAAACTTTACCTTTGATCATTCCCTCTAGATTCAAGAATCGCAACCACGAGTCCACGACTGCATGTTCCATTCAATCAGTTGATCTCTCCCACTCCTGAGCAGGGCTCAATCAGATCAACCCTAATATTGTCTTAATGCTTCTACTCGCGTTCTCTGCATGGAGATCCCTACCTAATCCACCATGATTTCGTGCCATCGTGCACATCGGTATTTTCCTGATCTCCCCAGAACGAAGGTATATATAGCCAGTTGAGTCTCTCGTTGAATCTCCAGCCTCCAGCACTACTAACATGAATTGTCGTGGCCATCCTCGAAAAAACGCCAACACCCCCCAGGTTGAGAACACACCTGCTCTCATACCTGTTGCTCCTGCCCCTTCCGTACCTGTTGCTCCTGCTGCACCCGTACCTGCTGCACCCATACCTGTTGCTCCTGCCCTTGCTGTACCTGCCCCTGCTGCAACTACCACTGCAGCGGCTGCAATTGCAACTACCCTTCACCACCCTAAGAGACAACGACAACTTCCTCAGAGATTTAGGAAGGACAACGCAGCTGCCCATCCAGATGATGGGGAGTATATCAATATCAATAACATCAGCAGCAGTGAAGACGATATAAACCCACCTGAAGTCATCGCCGACGCCAATGCAAACCCGAGTCCACTACACACAGCGACTAGCACTCTCCCTACCGATCCCTTTGCCACGAGAAAACGAGGCCTTAAGACTACTTCTGACATCCAGTATTTCTATAGGAAGAACTCAGATACTGGCGAGCGTGTTTGTGTACTGTGCGAGTGAGTAACATACCTGAGAGTCTTCTCTGCACTTTCTCACCCCCTTTACCAGGGATCTCAATAAGGTTGACGCCTCATGTCCCCTTACCATTTACGGTTCTTCCACGAGCAATAGTCCTCTTCGTTCGCACATATACAAATTTCATATCGACCTTTATCTCCAGGAGTCCGAGAAGCAGCAATGGCCAATCGGCATACATCCTGTAGGGAACCGCCTTAGTGAAGGCTGTTACAATAACATACTTCGGACCGGGTCCCCCTATCTTTTTCTCCTATCATGTACTGCCATATGACGCCTTATCATCTTCTTGTACAGCATCCTTGATCGCCGTCTTATCTCGTATCTCTTATCTTGTACCCTGTACTTTTACCATTGCCTCGGTAGTCCTGCCCTGAACTGACCTTTACCTATAAGTAGTCGATCGTCTTGTCTTGTATTCTCTAACTTGAATCTACTCAGTCTTCTGATAGACCTTCCTTGAGCAAGACAGCTCTCGTATACGATTTCACTAAAGACTCTTTGTCTTAGTGTCTTTACTCGATCGATACCATTAGTCTTGTCTTCGCTTGCCAACTCACATCACCAAGCTTTGACCTCAACGATAACGATAAACGAACCTCTGCATTATCTTCGTCTCTTCTGAGACTTAGTACAGAGATCTTACCTGAGTCCACGCTTTCAGCGTAACAAAGGCTGGACCTTTGCTGAGATGCTGGAACGACTCAAAGATCCCACTTGCACAATTGAGATGCTTGGTCCTCCCCCCAGTCGCGGTGATGGTAGTTTGCAGCCCGCTGTTGGGAAGTCAGCCTTTTCGGGGCATGACTTACCAAACTTTTCCATTGAGGAGATGCATAGACACATAGTTAAATTCATCATCGCCGATGATCAAGTGAGTTCTGTCTACCGTTTGTATACTCTCGTTAATGATTATCTCTAGCCAATTAGCATTGTTGAGTGTCCCGAGTTCCGCCGGCTGCTCCGCCTCTTGCGGCAAGACCTAAAGGAGTCCGATATCCCCTGTCGTACAAAGTTCCGGCAACTAATCATCGAAGCCTGGCATGAATACTTTACGGCCATCAAACTTGACCTTGCTGTAAGTGTATAGTTACTGATCGCGTATAGTTTTTCATATCTTGCAGACCGCCCAAGGATGAATTTCTTTCACTTCTGATATCTGGTCCAATGCTAAGCTTCATCCCTTCCTTGCTTTAACTGCACATTGGATTGCGAAAGAAACCGGGAACGCAACACTTGTTTTGAAGGCCGCTCTAATCGCCTTTCATCATATCCCTGGTAGTCATACCGGGAAGGCACTCGGTTCAACAATATTGAAGCTGATTCGTCGCGCTGAAGTAGAACAAAAGGTCAGTTTCTTGTATGTACTTCATCGCATGCTCTGACTCCGTCTAGATCGGACACTTTACCTTGGACAACGCGAGCAACAATAGGACCGCAATGGACGAACTCCAGTATTTGTTGTTCAAAGAAAAGATCACATTCGACGTGATCAATCACTGAATCCCATGCTTTCCTCGTATAGTGAATATATGCGTCCAACACATCCTCGATGAATATGATACTGTAGACCTTTCGCATTTGGCTGACACGTTCGTAGCTGGCCCTTACACTTTCCAGAAGGTGGATTACGTCAAGACTCTGCAAAGTAAAGTGATCGACCGGGCCAGAACCATTATCCGTGCAATCCGCGCATCAGGCCAGCGCCGCGATAGTTTCCGAGCTGCCATTACTTCTGGCAATGCAGAAGGATGGTTCGTAGACGACGCGAATGAGCATATGGCCCTTCCAATCATTGAATTGTTATGTGACGAGCCTACTCATTGGGATTCAACATACATCATGTTCAATTGTTTGAGAATCCTACGACAGGTAACATTTCATTTCATTAAATTTTTTACATAGCTTAACAGATGCCTAGGCTATCGACCATTGGATCGATCTTCCTGCTCAACGCAGCATTGTCCATCATAAATTGAGTCCCATGGATTGGCAAGTCTTGCAGGATCTCGAGGTTATTCTCGAGGTATGTTTTAATATATCTGAAATCTATATCATATTAACTGGTCTACATTAGGCACCGCACCACGCTCAACAATGCATGTCCAGCGAGACCGGCCCTGTACTGGGCAGTGCAATTCCGGCCTTCGAAGGGTTGACCGAAAGATAGAAGCTCGTGGCGGACCTTGTCCCGCACTGTGCGCCTTTGATTGACATAGGTTTAACCTGGGCGGCTAAGTATGATGACCGAATGCTCCTCACAGGAGCATATGCTGTCGTGATGTGTCAGTCCCATGTGTTTTTGCGGGGGCAAATTCTCATTATTGTGCACAGTCGTGGATCCAACAAGGTGTATGTCGTGGATGAATGAACATTGGTCAGCCCCACGAATCACAAAGGCTAAGGACTATATTCTCCAACTGGTACGTCTGCGCTATGGTAACAACAGTAAACTGTGGGCTGATACGTCCCACAGATGCAGAATCAGAGGGGGACAAATGTTTCTGCACCGTCCGATCAGTTGATTCGTCGGCCACGCCCTGCAACATTAGGCTCGACAATATATGGACTTCCTGAGATAGACACGCAGCCCCGTCGCCAGGGTGGCCCCCAATCAGTTGAAGACGAGTTCGATGCTTATAGTACAGGCATTCTTAGCCCCACGGGCACAGATCTACTATCATTTTGGACGGTAAGATCCCTTTTCTCTGTCACAGATTTTATTGATGACGAGGCATTAATGGTGGGCCAGGTTTTGAGACCCATGTTTCCGACGCTCTACAAAATCGCAATGGACTTTCTGCCAATCCAAGCCTCTTCCGTTCCGTGCGAGCGCGTATTCTCCTCCAGCAGTGACACATTTACCAAGAAGCGCAATCGTCTCAGCCCATACTTGATGGAAGTCCTTCAGGTTGTCAAATTCTCACTGAAAGAGGACCGACTTCACTTTACAAAGGGTTGGGCAGCGTCCCAGAAGGACATGGAGTATCACTTGATGTGTGTCATGGGCTCTGCGGGCCGTGAAGATCTCTTGACATCTGGCTCTTGTGATCTACTGATATCTGCCGCCAGTGGGACTACTTCTGACAGTCGCGACTATGAGGCCCTGCTCAGACTCATCACGGAGGACGAATGTGATGATGTTCCAGATGATGTTCCAGACATATCTCTTTCCGTCTCGTAATTCTTGCCTGTTTACTGCTACTTTTACTATTCCCGTCATCTTACTCATGCGCTGCTGCTTTTGTCGTTAAACCGACCTTTGACTATTGATTTGTTCATCCTCTCAGCCTTCTCACCCTGACTAACTGCACAGCGACTTCGTCACTTCTTTGCAGCTTGACTGATGTATCTGTTGTGAAGCTCGTGTCCTTCGCGTGCTCACTCCAAACGGCTGATGTCCCGTGATGATGATCGAGCGTGTACCATTATTTGTGTCTCCATTTACTTACTTCCATTTTGTTCATTAGAGGCTCCTGCCCTTCTCCATATCGACATCAGCTTGAGATAACCTCGCGATGTCAATGTGTTGTCTGTGCCCTCCAAGTCCTTCCTGACCTGCTCGTTTGACCGCCGTACCATCCCCATTCACACCAGCTAGCTCGAAAACTGGACTTCACTTGCTGCGACATTGAGAGTGCAGTCATTGGTGAGCCCAAATTTAATACTCGATGTGTCATCTCGAGCTAATGTGTCGAACAGCTCGTAATGTTTTAATTGATGACAACGATGACGCCGCAGTGAACCCAGCTGTGGGTCCCTGATTCACCAGGGTCGCAATCCTCACAGCAGTGAACCCCTGACTCTACACGAATCTGTCCTGGAACTACTCCAAGCCGGTTTTCATCCACTTAAGCTTGACCGGCTTTTTTATCGAGTACGTCGTGAGTCG